TCAGTGGTAGAGTGTACACTAGTGCGTGTGCACACCCACAACAATGAAGCCTCACTGGGCACCTGCTCCAATCTCTGTGAGATAGATTCCCTGCCCTTCAGGGGCTTGAGACTCTGCTGAAACATCTGAAATAGCTGCACCACTCATTTTGGCATCAATCATAATCTACTTTATACTGTTATCTAATTGTATGTGCACATACATTATTTTTAGAGAAATTAACTCCCAAAGGACAGAGTTCCTATTACTATTTGTACTGCAGAGTTAAGCAAGGAAGTGAGCATAGACTAAAATCTAAAATATTTATTAGATTACTTTCTACCAAGACATATGTATATATTCTATGGCCCCAGGTCTCTAAACCTGGGAATAGTTTTGAGAAGAGCTTGTAACGTAAAATAAATGTGATGTATGGTGCACAAGACTTCAGATCAGAATATAACAAAGTACCTCTTTGCACAATTAAAAAACAAACCTCTGCATTTCTCTCTATGTACTTCAGCACAAAAAGAGGTCATAAAAATTTAAAGAGCAGCTAAAATTATTAAGAGGAAGAACTGAAGTACAATTAAAATAGCTAATTATATCAGGCAAATGGTGATATGGGGGAAAAGTTGCAATCAGGCTGTCTGCTCAATAAGAAAGCTAAGGATAATTGTGAGACCATTTTCATGGAGAGCGAGGAACAGTGGAACAGGAATACCTTCCTGGGAGGCAACTCCAGGAGACTAAAAACAGGACAGGGTAAATCTGTGGAGTCCACATGATTTCAGGGAATTTTACTGAGTGTTATCTAGTCTGATCATGAACTGTAATAGAGCTGGAGGAGGTCTCACATAATGGGGAACTAACGTAACTGAAGCATGACAGGGCTCTGCTGTTAAGGTCACATGAATTTAATTTGCAAAAAGGTAGGTTAGGAAGGACGATCATAACTTTAGAAGATTACAAATGGCACATACACATTGAACCTAGATTTTTTTTCCTCTTTGAACTTTAACATTTGGCTGTCTTTAGATACTTTAACAAGGTACCCACTTTATACTAATCATATGGGAACACATTACACAGTAGAGACGGTAGAGCAAAGTGACATGAGTTTTGGAACTCAGACTGCCTGTGTTCAAAACCTAGATCTGTCACATACCAGCTGTGTGACTTAGAGCAAATTTCTTAACTCCCTTTGTCTGAGGCTTCTAAATTGAAAAATGAAGGTAAGAGCAGGAACTCTCTCACAAATATATGGTAAAGATTCTAATGCATGCAAAGTACTCAGAAACAAAGGGTCTGGCCCTCTGTAAATTCTCATGGCTATTAATATACTTCTATAATTCTTACAAAAATCAGGAAACAAATGGATTTTTTAAAGTTTCAATATATTTAGGAATGGGAAATCAATATATGGAAGCTAATAAAACTGGGATATATCCAGGTTATTTATATATATATATATATATATATATATATATATATATATATGTATAAGGTTAGTGGTATCTTAATGGGATAAACCAGCAAAGCAACGATCACTGTGTAAATTTTCAACTCTAGAAAGTATAGCTATTAGTTTTGCTGACTGTTGTTTTTTCCAAAAGGTTTAAAAGAAATACGAAAAAAGAGCAAAGAGAAAGAAGAGTTAGATGTGATGTGAGTTAGGTGATATCCTCAGAAACATTATTGTAACAGGATGTGCCAAAGTAGTAAAGTTGCCCTGGTTGGCTGAGTCTTCCTAGGATTTCACATCTATTTAAAAGGGTTTATTACTTCACCTTCACTTATGGCCCTTTTCCCTTCACCCAGTGTACTCTACAAAGGCCTGCTTTCAGTTCCAGTACCAGGAGGACTCTGGACTTTCTCCTGCCTCCAGGCCTTGGCAGGTTGCTTCCTCTTCTACCTGCACTACTGTGACTCTCTGATTGGCCTCCAGAGGCTACTTCTTCCTCATCCTACCTCATATCCTTATTTAAAATACCTCTGGTTATTTTCAATCTCATTACCCAGTTAGCTTCCTGCACAGCACATATCACAATTTTTATTTATTTTATGCTTGTATATGTGCTTATTTTTAATGTCTCTCACACAAACTATCTCTATGGCGGTGAACAACATCATTGTTCATTCTATCATCTTCAATTAACACACAGGACATAGTAGACACTCAAATATCTGTTGAATGAAAGAAACAATGATCCTTAAGGTCCCTTTAAACTAAAAAGTAACAGATCAAAAACATATAGTGTAAAGGGAGAGACTTTTTATTTACAGATCTAGGCAGTATCTAAGTGTTGCCTCACTATGAGCAAACTAAACAAATGGCTTCATTCCAAGGAGTTTAGTTAGAACTTGATTTATATAATCTAGCACCTTCCTCAAACTGTGCTTTTGTTAGTTTTACTTTCGAATTTGCCTTATTATTTTTTTCAGTGCTGGGGATTGAATTTAGGGCCTCAAGCACTCTACTACTGAGCTATACTCCTAGCCCTACCTTACTTGATTCAACAACTTCAGTCCAATAATGGGTTAGCTACCTAAAAATTATATGTAATATAAATATATATATAACAGCATCCAATCTCTCCCCAGTACAAATAATAACAATTATATAAAAATACAGATTTATGCTCCAAAACTCCAGGAAATTCTGATTTAGTACTTGAAGTATGGCTCTAGAATCCATATATTTGAAACGTTCCTTAATTTAAATAGATAATGTATACATAGTACAGGATTCAAACAGTAAGAAAAAGTACTTGCGGTTGCCCCCACCCTCTTCCATCAAGTTCCTCTTTCCATAAGCTGCCACTATTACCAACTTCTCCTGTATACTTCCAGATAATTATTTTCCTAAGCAAGCACATATATATCCTTTGCTTTAAACACACACATGCACATTTAAAGAACTGTTTTAATCTTAATTTTTTTCTTATCTCATTTAACAACGTATGTTGAAAATGAAGGGGTTTTGGGGCTGGGGCTGTGGCTCAGAGGTAGCACACTTGCCTGGCATGTGTGAAGCACTGGGTTCGATTGTCAGCATCATGTAAAATAAATAAAGGTCTATCAATAACTAAAAAAAAAAAAAAAAAAAGAAAAAAAAAGAAAGTGAAAGGGTTTTGTTTGTTTGTTTTTGTTTTATTTTGTAGTGTTGGGATTGAACCCAGGGCCTTGTACATGCTAAGTGTTCTGCCACTGAGCTACATCCCAGACTGGTAACTATATTTTTTACAAGCACTGTAGATGATTCTGATGTGAAGCCAAATATAGAAACCATTCACTAGCCTAGAGTTGAGGGATTAAGTTTAACTCACTATGACACATTATAAACTCAAGGACATTGAAAAGATGCAAGTAGTCATACTTTCCTGACCTCTGCCCCCTTGCCTCCCAGAGATAAACCAAATCTTTCTCCAATGTCTTCATAGAAACCAGGAAACACAAGCCATTTAAATGAATGTTGCCCAAACTGTTCAATTTTCAATTCCTGAATTCCTTTCCTGCCCATTATTACCTGAAATTACAAACCTGACAATTTCTATGTGACACAAGACATTTTGGTATTTGGATAGAAATGAGGTTTGATCTACACGGAAACAAGAGCTGACTTTTTCTCCCAGCATTAACACAGTTTAACGGGGCACAATTGCAATACTTTCCTTACTAATCCTTACTCATACAACAGCATCCAATCCCTCCCCAGTACAAAAGCAATCAACTTTGAAAATGCTGAGAGAAGACTGCATTGTCAGGCCGAACTTTGTGAATTCTGAAGTTCGGGCTCTTGTTAACCTGACTTGACCTCTACCCTTGGGGGAGATGGTTGGACCCTTCTGAGCAGCTCTTGTTCTTCCTTCTCATCTACCTCAGGGATGCAGAGGGAGTTTACTTTTGACACGGAGGGAAGGCTCTCCGAGGGCCACCCGAGAATCTCCTCCGCAGTGTCCCTTTCACCACGAGGGGCACCACGCGGGAGGCATCCTCACCTTCCCTACACCGCGCCAAGGAAAGAGGAGTGTACAGGGCTTCCAGGAGAGGAACCTGCTAGGATCTAGCTGGCTTACCTCACCCCTAATCGAAGGGCCCCTGGTGGGCTGGGTTTCTTTCCAAGCCCCCAGGAATGGGTAGGGCATGACTCCCATCCCTTCTCCCTGGATCATACGCGAAGATAGGAAAATGGGGCTCTGCGAGCCCAAACCCGAAACCCATCCCTCTCCACCCCGCCTTTCCTTCCAACCTCTGGGCCCTGCGTCTCCCCCTGAGTAATGCCCACCTCTCCCCCACCATGGCCGGCCGGCGTCCTCTTGCCTGGCTCCTGCCTTCCTTCCCACCTGACCCCGGCCCCCTCACCCAGCATGATGGGGCTGAGCCGCCGGGCCAAGCCCTTGGACAGGTCGTACACGTAGAGCTTCACCGGATAGAGATTCGGCGGCTCCATTGGGACCCGTGGCGGCGGCCACGATGGCCCTCGGGCACCCGGCAGCGGCTAGGACCTTCCCGTACCCGACGGGGGTGGGGAGAGGAGGGAGCCGGGGGACCTAGCCCGGGCCCGGCCTGAGGGGCGGGGGAGAGGCCGCCCTGCGCTGCTCGCGCCCCCACACCCGCTACTGGCAACGACTACTGTGAGGTGACAGAGGGGGGACTGGGAGGATCCGTACCGAAGAGGGGGCGGGGGCGGGACACGCACTTTCGCGCATGTGCGTACCATCTTGACCGGCGCCGGGGGCGGGGCTTAAAGGGGCGGGGCTTCCGCGCAGCATTGGCTTTAGGTAGAGACTTTCGTGGAAGCGGGGTTGTGGAAGTGGGCGTGTCAACATGACGGGAAGAAGGGCGCGCTGTGCGTGATGATGTATAAGGCGTTGATTGGGGGAGCGAACGGAAGTTAGAGCGTACGTGCTGCCCGCCTTCTGTAAAAGTTTATCTCTTCTTTGCTGCAAAGGTAGGCTGGAGGCGCTCTGAGGGTGTTACCTGCCGTCCTGGGCTGTCCTCGCCCAGTTTCATCCAGTTTCGAGCGCCCTGCTAGCTTGCGGTGGGGCAGCGCCCACCGCCAGTGTGCAAACCTGAGGGTAGAGACAGCCTCTGGACTCCCCTTCTTCTCCGCGGAAGGCGGCATCCGGCATCGGAGGCCTGCGGGCGTTGGAAATCTCTTTAGGCGTGTCTGGCAGAGGGGTTGGGGAAGATTTAGGGGCGGAACGGGGACGTGTGGATCTGCTAGGTAACTGAGTAACCACCGCAGTCCAAATGTGGAGCAGGAGGCGGGACCTCTAGGGTGTGCCCCACGCACGGATCTGAGCTGTTGCCACTGGCCCTAAAGCGTCCGTAAGGGATAGCTAAGGTGAAGCTGCTGGTGGAATGCCCTCCTTGTCCATTTCCCTCTGCATCCCAACGAATGAGAGCTCTCGAGCCAGGGATCCATCCTCCACATTATTAACTAGTAACTCTGAGCTTTTAGAACAGCTCTCAAAAGAGCCTAAAACTTGATATTTTTTCTTTAAATTTTCTTACTGATCTAAACTCATTTCACTTAGCAGAAACAATTATGTCAGGGTGGGAGTCTTACTACAAAACCGAGGGCGATGAAGAGGAGGAAGAACAAGAGGAAAGCCCGGAAGCAGGTGGTAAGTGACTTTACCATGTAATACCGTTCTGCATGTGGAAAAACGGACCTTCCCTGCCTTGTCTCCTGCAAGGACGTTGCCTTCTGATGGCATTGGAGGCAAGTACTTTACCACTGAGCCACAACCCCGGCCCTTGATGGTTATTTTAAAGATGTTCACCTTATAATAATTCATTAGGTTGTACTTTTGCTTTTAAGGACTTCTCTGTATTTGTTTCATATTAATGATAAACTTAAATATGAGTACAAGGGTAAATGTTCCTTCCATTTATTTTCCCCATAGGAGAACATAAATATTCAGGAAGAGATAGTTTGATTTTTTTGGTTGATGCCTCCAGGGCCATGTTTGAATCTCAGGGTGAAGATGAATTGACTCCTTTTGATATGAGCATCCAGGTAAGTCTTCCTTTTTCTTTTTTTCTTATTTTTTTAGTTGTAGGTAGACACAATGCCTTATTATTTATTTTTTTGTGTGGTGCTGAGTATCGGACCCAGTGCCTCACTCATGCTAGGTGAGCAGCCTACTACTGAGCCACAACCCCAGCCCCATATCTTCCTGTTTTGTTTTGTTTTGTTTGAATATTGGTGATTGAACCCAGGGGCACTTTCCGCTGAGCTACATCCCCAGGCGTTTTTAAATTTTTTTTATTTTGAGACAGGATCTTGCTAAGTTGCTTAGGGCATTGCTAAGTTGCTGAAGCTGACCTTGAATTTGCCGTCCTCCTGCCTTGGTCTCCCAAGTTATTGGGATTACAGGTGTGTGCCATCATGCCTGGCAAGACTACCTTTTGTTTGATCCAAAAAAAAAAAAATAGCAAAAAAGTATGATATCACTTGCAAAAACATGAACTTTTTGAAAAGTTTGTGAATGTTAAATAGCAATTAGCGTATRTTTGCAGCAAAAAAAAAAAAAAGGTAGCAGTGTTGGAGATGAGTCTCATTCTATTCTAGGTTTGAACTTGGGACTCTAGGAATATATTGTTCCCACCTTTTGTATTAGCCCTGATAGGATTATAAATATAGGATTATAAAGTGCCTCAGTCTGGCTGGGCAAAATAGGGGGGGGGGAGACAAGCAACTTGTGAAGGTTGAAACAGCGGGAGCCCCTTTATTGCAAGACAGTAGAGGTATTTATACCCAACTGATTACACACAGCTTAACTTAATTAACATCATCTAGATACAGCAGTCAGTCATTAAGGAATCCTCATCATCTTAATGGCTCGCTGGCGTTACTTCACAAACCACTCCTCCTGGCAAAGTGCCAGGTGCCATCTTGACTTGATTGGTTCTCAACAATAAAGGAAGAAGGAAAGTACTGGCAATTATGGTGTGAAGAAGAGTCCTTTTGGGCTGTAGATGTAGTTCAGTGGTAGAGTACGCACAAGGCCATGGGTTGGATCCTCAGTACTACCAAACAAACAAACTAACCTGTCAAGTGATGTTTGGTAGTTGAATACTACTTGCTGAAAACTGTTACTATAGCAACAAGACAACCCCAATCTTAACATGGGATAAGGACTTGAATAGCCATTTCTCCAGAGCTATACAGGTGGCTAATAAGCACAAGAAAAATGTTTGACAGCTTTAGTCATTAGGGAATGCGAATCCAAACCACAGTGAGATACCTCTTT